GAAATAAGAGCAGTTATGAAGGGGTGAGGAAAAAAAATTAAATGGGGGGGAGTGTGTGGGGGGGACAACCAACACACCCCCCAAAAAAAAAACCCACTTTTCCCCCCCCCCCCCCCCCCCCCCCCAAAAGATAGTGTGCTGTAAGATCCTATAAATCTCAATCCAGTAGAAAATGCAATTGATTCCAATACTTATCCACTGGGTCAGGCCCATCCGCTGACCTTATTTCCCAATCACTTAGGTCCATTTTCTCTTCCAAAAAAGGTGGAATAATTCAGCTATTTGGAGTGAGTCTGTCGCTTTGAAACCACTCTGAAGACAGTTCCAACTAACAAAATTATGGAGATTGCCTTCAATTTTTTTTAACTGTTCCAATCTCGTACTCATGAACTGACAAGCAGACGAGTCAATATAGGACTGCAAATTGCAACTGAATAACCACTGGTATAGGCTAAAGTTTGCGGTACAACCCACAAAAAAGATTCGTTGAGGGGGGCAGAGATTTGGGAAATTGTGCTAACCATAGGAAAAAATCCTCCATACGACCAGCAGGGCCAGCATAGAACTGAACATAGCCTTATTCATTCAAATCCTTGCATTTGGCCTGATTTGCTTATTTTTGTAGACCTTTCCCACATAATTTTCTGCACACAAAGACCTAACAACTCAAGGCTTGGGTTGAGAAAATACAATTATTTGTAGAGTGCTGTCCAACCAAGCCTCGACACCATATCATTGTCTGTGACTACTGAGAGAGAATGTGCTGGCAAGTCATTTTGCAGAATGCAGAAAGGGCACCAAACAACTCTGAGGTTAAGGGATTAGTTCAGTGAATCAATTTATAGCTTGCGTCATTAGTTAATATACAGGTCAAACTGAATTGTAACTTGATTCACTCAGTTTCCTTACCCTAATCACTATACTTCAGAGTCATTCCACGCTTGGTGACCATTTGGCACTCTGCAAAATAACCCTAAGGCAGAAATACAGGAAACGTCTTTAAATAACATGAGCAATACTCTTTTGTTGACCAGAATACTGTGGAACAGTACATGATGTCATAAAAATGGACACAAAATTTATGAAGAAACACAATTAATTTTAATTAATTTTAATTTTAATTTTTTTTAAAGCAAAATTGGGGCGAGGTTCAGGACTGAAAGTATGTGCAGGAGGTGGGATGCTAAATATAACCATAGGGATTACAGGATTGCTCGAAATTTTGGGTCGGGATACAGGATTGAAGAACCCCATTTGGGACCCTCTATCCTACTGGGCCACGACTGTCACAACAAGGCAGCCACATTTAATCTCCATTGACGTCAACATCTTTGTCATTGCTGTCATAAGTTTTACTTAGTAAAGAATCTCTTACTTCCATCAGTAGTTTACCCATAGTGTTTTCTCCAACAATCTCACCCGTCTTCTTGTCTCGCTTCCCAGTCCAGAAATCTGTTTGACCCCGAGTTGGAATGTGAATCAGCTGTCTTGAGGCCCCAGTTTCTAAAAGAAGGCTTTTAAACGGCTCTTTTTCAAACTTCTTTTGTAGAGCTCTTTTCATCCTTCGTTTTGCTACTTCCTGATCTAATCCGTCAGGTAAGCAATCTTCATCAAGAGTACAGCTATCATTAGCGGTTTTATGATGATCACGTCTTTATTAAAGAAAACTACAACATTCTGAGACACTAAAATAATAGTTAAATTACTTTACGTAAAGGCTCGTTGGAGGGTTTTTTTAGTGGCTGCCAAATGGGAATATACAGGTAAGCACCCGACCTAAAAAAAAAGGACAGGTTGGCACCGGTCACGTTACCTGCACAGTCTTATCTTCACGCAGACAAGGCGCATGGTGGCCAGTGAAGTGTTAAATCACAACGATACTTTACAAATGCTAAAAATGTTGAAAGGACAATCGATTCTTATACAGTGCAAATGAATTAACATGCGCTGTAAAATCAATTGTAAATCCTCATTATTTTAGTTATACGTTAGAACGAAACAACTCACGGAAAACAAAAGTGAAACTAATATTGCAAATGAATTAACCCGCGCAGAAGCGGAAAGAAGAAAAGCGGACGATGAATGTACGAAAAAGCATCATAAACATAAGGTTACTATGGCTTGTTGAAAAATAAAAGTATGATAAGGCTAAAACAAGCGTAACGCACGAAAAATCACCGGATAAAATATGGCAAAACTAAACTGCACAACTGGTGACATTAGTGGTCTCGAATTTATGAACGAAACATCACTTAACATACGAAGAGTGTAGAATCCTTTGCCACTTCTTCGACATGTTCAACACAAACCCTACACAATGGTTGAAACTAGGGACTTTTAGCATTGATAAAGGTGACGGCAGCGAAAACGTCACTTTTAAAAATGAATTGGCGTTTCTTCCAACTTTGTCACGTTTATTTCAATTCGCTGAAAATAGCTAATGTAGACCAATTTCCCTGGAGTTGATTTCTTTGGGCACACTCAAATTTAGAAAGAGAAAGAAAAGTTTGTCGTCGCTTGTTTTACGTCCTCCATAAAACGTGAAACTAGGCATTTTCACGTCGTAGTCGTGCAGTAACGGCAAAGAAATGTACAAAAAAGCGTGATGCACGTGCAAACTAGTTGTTTTGCTCAATGAACCTATTGCTTTTTTGACATTCTCGTTGCCGTCGCCGTCGTCGTTGCTAAAACTCCCTACTGACATTTTGTGAACCGAGAGTTTTCGCGCGTGTGTACTAGTACCAAATCTAAGTCAGATGTCTTTTTCCGACGTTTCTTAGTTTTAGCATGCGAGTATTTCAGAATTACTTAAACCTGCTGCAGATGAAACTCGCATTTAGTTTGATGGAGAGTCTTTGTGTGTTTCAAAGGTGTGCTCTTTTGGTTTAATTTAACGACGAAAGTAGCCGGGGACCATGCTCTGAGTAGCTGGGGGAAATCCCCGGCCCCCGGCCCTTAGTGACAACCCTGCTAGTATTTGTTCTGACTCACCCTAGTCACTTTTGAACCTCTCCCAAGTGGCACTCAGGGTATGACAAGAGTATTTTGTCCCAGGAAAATAACATTAACCCTACTGTTTTGAGGTATCAAAACTTTGTTTTATAAGGTTTGCTAAATCTACACTCTTCAAGTAAAATAGGTTTCCCTGGCTAAAAATTGTAGAAAAATATCAAATTAAACAGTGACAAAAACACCCTCCCTGGGCCTCCCACACCGTTCATGACATCAACACCCCACTGTTGGAATACCTGATATGACAAATGCACCGGGGGTGGGGTAAGGACACTTGCTATTGACTGCTGAGTCAACATAGTCATAGTCAAAAAATGTGAAGAAAACAAGGTAAACAGTAATAATGTATGTGTATTGATATCAGGGATTATGGGTTTAAGTAAAAACAAACCTGAGTAAGCTGCCCCAGGCCTTGAGGCCAGAAATTTTTATGTTCATCTGTTGGGAAAAAGGTGTAGGGGGAGCGGTCGCCATGGCGATATACCTGTTAAGACGTTCAATTCAAATTACATGCTAATATACATGCTAATTAAGTTGTGCATAGCTGTATATTAGATATACAAATACAGCAGATTTAAAATAAGTACAACTATGTGGAGGCCAGTATAAAGAGGGGAAACCTGATAATTTCAGATAGAAAGCATTCAAATGACCATTTTGCAAAAGACATAAGATAACAATACTCCTCAATGCAAGGGCACAGCTTTACAAGGGTATTTAATCAATCAAGTTTCCTTTGTTAGAGTGGCGCAAGGAATTTAAAGTACATTATTTACTTGGCTAAAAATGGTAGCTTTTTGTATGGTGAAGGAATCAGTGAAGCTATTACTTTAGATATAAAAGCCCCCTGTTAACCAAGGGTAAAATTTCAAAAAGGGACTTGGCCCTAAAAGTTAGATCGGAGACAAATGAAATCAGGAGCACCTTTCTAACATTTATAACAATGAGGAAGTAAGCTTACTACTTTGAAAATACTGACACAAGACTCAGATGATTAATAAAATGTAAAATAATTAAACGTTAATAAGTCAAGTAATTTCATTTACTTCCTTATCTGCCTTGAAATTATATGAACTATGAACGTAACATTGACTGCAGAAGACTCAGACTTGTGTCAGTGCTTGGTTCGCGAAAGGAAGTAATAAGCCTTACATGAAACGCAAAATACTTAAAACTGTTTATATCCTCTCATCTTCTATGCATAGAAGAAGCTAGTTTGCAAGCTCAATTTCCAATTGAAACTAGGTTGAAAACTCCGAAGTCAACTTAGACGCCTTGTAGGGACTCGATCTTCTCCAGATCGGTTATTATATTTAAAAGCTTAGTCATAACACTACACTTGTGACTTTAATTAAGCTTAAATTTGGGAAAATTTCAATGCGCCCAGGTTTTATGAGCTGAGGTACCATTCCAGGGAATTACAGATCAATTAGTGGCAAAAATCATAAATAAGTAAAGAAAGCAAGTAATTCATTGAGAAGATCGTTAAAATTTACACGCGTACATAAAATTAACCTGTTGAAAATTTTCGTGGTCATGTCATATGCTCTGTATTGTACCAGCACCGATACATTTCGGAATCAACCAATTATATTTTACAATACTATCACAAAAAAACTCACCACATTAACCATTCTGAGCTTTTGTGCTCCATATGATGGCGTGTGAATCTGTAGAAGCCACAAAAGACAAAACGCTAAATGAAAAAAACGACCGCTTCCGCCGGCCATGTTGGCTTCGATCAATTGTCGTCACCAGGCTTCTCTCGTAATCCTAGTTCGAGCAGGTCCGGGCAGATCCCTAGAGGGTATTTCCTTGTCGGTGCACTTTTTCGGAATTTTGGGAGTCAGAAAATTCGGGTAGGTAGGGATTTAAAAATGAGAAGTTTTTTACCACATTAAGTTGACAAATGGGTCAATTCATTTCAGGATGGCCTGGTTAGAAGACTTTCAAAGCTAGATGCATAAACAGAAAATGACTAATTTTGAATAGCAGAAATTACATTTTGCTAAAAGTGACTAAGAAGGAGTCTATTTCTGGGCACGGAAAAAACTATAATGGGGTAGGAGTTATGAGGGGCCAAAGGCACATACCCAGCCAAAATTAACCCAAGTTTCCCCTCCCTCCCCACCCCATAACCCCCCCCCCCCCCCCCCTTCAAAGACAGTGTGTGCTGTAAGATCCTATAAATCTCAATCCAGTAGAAAACGCAATTGGTTCCAATACTTATCCACTGGGTCAGGCCCATCCGGTGATCTTATTTTCCAATCATTTTGGTCCATTTTCTCTTCCAAAAAAGGTGGAATAATTCAGCTATTTGGAGTGAGTCTGTCGCTTTGAAACCACTCTGAAGACAGTTCCAACTAACAAAATTATGAAGATTGCCTTCAATTTTGGAACTGTTCCAATCTCATACTCATGTACTGACAGGCAGACAAGTCAATATAGGATTGCAAATTGTAACTGAATAAGCACTGGTATAGGCTATGGTTTGCAGTACAACCCACAAAAAAAATCATTGAGGGGGGCAGAGATTTGGGAAATTGTTCTTATCACTGGAAAAAATCCTCCATACGCCCAGCATGGCCAGCATAGAACTGAACATAGCCTTAGTGAGAACTAAACATAGCCTTATTCATTCAAGTCCTTGCATTTGGCCTGATTTGCATATTTTTGTAGACCTTTCCCACATAATTTCCTGCAAACAAAGACCTAACAACTCAAGGCTTGGTTTGAGAAAATACAGTTATTTGTTGAGTGCTGTCCAACCAAGCCTCAACACCATATCATTGTCTGTGACTACTGAGAGAGAATGTGCTGGCAAGTCATTTTGCAGAATGCAGAATGGGCACCAAACAACTCTGAGGTTAAGGGATTAGTTTAGTGAATCAATTTATAGCTTGGGTCATTAGTTAATATACAGGTCAAACTGAACTGGACCTTGATTCACTCAGTTTCTTTACTCTAATCACTATACTTCAGAGTCATTCCACGCTTGGTGGCCATTTCGCAATCTGCAAAATAACCCTAAGGCAGAAATACAGGAAACGTCTTTAAATAACATGAGCAATACTCTTTTGTTGACCAGAACACTGTGGAACAGCTATGATGTCATAAAAATGGACACAAAAATTATGAGGAAACACAATTAATTTTAATTTTTTTTAAAGCAAAATTGGGGCGAGATTCAGGACTGAAAGTATGTGCAGGAGGTGGAATGCCAAATACAAGCATAGGGAGTACAGGATTGCTCGAAATTTTGGGTCAGGATACAGGATTGAAGAACCCCATCTGGGACCCTCTATCCTACTGGGCCATGGCAGTCACTCCAAGGCAGTTACATTCAGTCTTCATTGACGTCAACATCTTTGTCATTGCTGTCATAAGCTTCACTTAGTAAAGAATCTCTTACTTCCATCAGTAGTTTCCCCATAGTGTTTTCTCCAGTAATCTCACCCGTCTTTTTGTCTCGCTTCCCAATCCAGAAATCTGTTTGACCCCGAGATGGAATGTGAATCAGCTGTCTTGAGGCCCCAGTTTCTAAAAGAAGGCTTTTAAACGGCTCTTTTTCAAACTTCTTTTGTAGAGCTCTTTTCATCCTTCGTTTTGCTACTTCCTGATCTAATCCGTCAGGTGCTAACGTCAACTTATACTTAGCAGAACCAGATTTCGAGCCAGCCGACTTGGCCAGCCTTCCTTTCGCTGTCTCCTCCTTCACGTTTGTTGCTGCCGTCTCTTTTTTCCTATCAAATTCCCCACCTTTCATAAACTGCTTCCTGTCTTCAGGAATGAATTTCATACCTTGGAAATAATGCTCTACAGACGGAAACACGCCTTCCTCCATCTCGATATCAACTTCAAAGAAGTTTGACAACTGGCAATATGGCAACCTTGACCCAGAGAAGAAGAATATGGGTTCTTCGGCTTCATTTGAGCTCTTTTTCAAGCGTTTCGAAGGTGAACTCATGTCGCAGGTGACTAACTAGGCAGATCTGTAAAGAAAGAGAATATGAAAGAGAGGAGAGGGGATTGCATCGAATGGTGCAACCAGAGCACCTACATCCGCCATGTTGGAATTGTGTTGACGGAGATTTTTTAAGAGACTGGAACCAACTTTCGTTCCCAGGGCACCAACAGAGCACCAAACAGAGCACCTTGATTTCTCATTTTCTCTGCATTTTGCGCATGCCTGAGAGCAGCGGAGCTGCGTCTGTAGTTGTAAGAGAAGATGGGTGTGAAATCGAAAATAAAGGGGAGAGGGGTGACTTAGATGTAAATAACATATCTGAGCCTCTTATTTTGTGAAAGGCCTGCTGTCCTGCTCAGGTTTTGTGCCAGGTGGACATTTCAGGACACTCTACTTCGGTTTACCCACGGAAAAAAACAACCACGTTTTTGATTGGTTGTTTTATCGTGAGACTCAGAATCCACGTTGTTGGGCGGACGAATGGCCGGGAGATAAATGGGTACTTTTTTCGCCATTTACATGCGAAAACCGACAAATCCGGTTGGAAAATCACAATGGTTGGTGCCATTCCGTTTGGGAAGTTTCAGACGGGGCTGTCAGATCTGAGGCGCGTCAATTTCCCCCTCCTTTTAGTCTGTTCCGGCTGATTTTGATATACTTTGTAAAGACTCTTTCTCCCACCTTGTCAAAATTTATAGTTTTATGTTTACGAACAAGATTTCCAGCAGGCTAGTTTACGTAAATGGTAACCACCCAAAAATTCGTTCGAACCACGTGAGACGAAACGCAAAGCCCGCTCGGAAAGAGGCCTAGGGAGTGGGCAAGAACTTCCTGATGTCTCCACGATTATGTCCCAAGGAAAAAGTATCTCGTGGCGGACGTGAAAAAAACAGAATTATCATTTCTCGAGGTAAAATGGGAGAAAAGAGGCTCATTGTAACGGAAACTTAACTGCTCGGAGAATCACTTGATTTCAGCAAAAAGAAGAACTACCCAGGACGCCCTCAACATGCTCACTCATCTTACCTGGAATATCGCCTCTAATATTCAATTTTTGTACAGGATCCCTTAACCCGAAACGAAACTGAACTCCCACACAAGGCCCATGTCACAGAGTTATCCCGGACCGTTCTATTTTCAGATCCATTTTCCCATCGAAGATGGAAGCTCCACTAGTGCACTTGAGGCAAAAAAAGAAAAAGGAAACCTAAGGTTAAAAAACTGTCATTTTCAGGTCTGTAGCTTATCGTTACTTGTTTGTGTCGGAACCAAGACTGTTTGGCGGGACTTGGAAGATATAAGATTCGCGCCAAAATCGTTCTCACAACAAGGTCGGTAAAAACGCCGTGACACGAGTACATGGATGTTGCTTGCTCCGGCCGTTACGTTAGAGTGTTTTCACTCACGTGGCCAGTAGCTGTGCAACCTGTGCATTTCTATCAGAACAAAAACGTGTTCTGATCTGATCATTTTCATCCAAAAGTATTGAAGAACAAAGCGCAGAAATAAAAAAGGAAACGAACATCCTTAACGTTTAGAATAGGATAAGTAGCAAATTCATTTTTGAACCGCGACGGGCCGGGTTTGAGACTCAAATATGGGTTCAGTTCCTCAAAGGACGATCCTAAGATCAGAGGACTCGAGCTCCACGAAGTAAGTATCTCTTATCTATAATGCTACTAAAAATAAACAATCGGTTTGGCAAAAAAACACAATTTATTTGTATTATTTAGCACTTTTTTAATCTTTGCATCCATTTTCCCCTAGTTAAGTTCATACAGCTGTTTCTGCACTCAGCTCTTTGTCACCTCTCAGAGCTCGTTTTTCAGATCAGCTGATCATGTAAGTTTACCTGCAGACAAATGGTGATAAGAACAAATAATCAAATTCAGTTAGAAGCTAAAAAGGCTGTTTCAGTCAAATTCTTATGACTGGGCAGATGAACTGACTTGACGTTGTAATAAAATACTGGGTGAACAACAGCAGAGTAACAATAACATAACTGGAATCATCAACTACAGAACCTAGAAGTGTAATTGCGACGGAACTAAGAGTCAGTCACGGGATCGACTATTGAGAAGAATCAAGCCCATTCATTATTGGGTGACTATGAAGTCTGCCACAATCATGAAGAACAAAGAAATGGAATTTAAAAAGGATTTCTTTTCTTACGCAGCGTAAACGAAGTTGGCTGCGCGTCTTTTGCCCACACCAAGTCCTTGCTTGTTCACAATACAGCCTTTGGATCCACCAAACTTCTTGAAATCTGCTACCTTTCCACTTGCAGTTGTAACACACATATTGACTTTCTAAGAGGCAAAAATAACTCCGGTGAATTTAATCTTGTATCCATAAATGCATTATTCGACCGTATACCTATCAAACGAGTCGCAATTACAAACAGTGCGTCCGATAAAAAAGCGAGTGGGGCGAGTGATTTCACTGCATTGTCATCCACGTGATGAAATTTTTTCCGGGATAGCTAAAAGCAGCGTCGAAAACAGAGGATAAAAACTGGATAAGTAGAAACGCCGTTAGGACTGCGCGTTTCGGACTCAATCGGTTTGCAGACACAAAAGGTATCTGTTCTTCGTAACTTAAAAGTAAACATAGCCAAACTCAGGGCGAAGAAAATCTGGAATACTGCATTTATTTATTCTTAATTTGAGCTGCTACTTCCATTATACAGGTCACACGGCAGAAGAAAATGCGGCTAAATGTTTCAGTTCTCTGTTGCTCGTTCCAGGGAACAGGGAGGCCCTTACAAAGAGATTGCTTAGTTCAATTAAAGCTCACGCTCCATTCACACTCAGACTTTAATATACAGCTATTTTGAGAAAGGTTGTCGGATAAAGAGCACGCGACAACACCAAAAGCTATTATGGGTGGTGTTGAAATCACTGTTTTTCAAATAAATTTGATAGAATAGCAGGAGAGGCCATGGACATATGTCTTTGAGTGCTAAAGGAAAGCAACAAAAGCAGGCTCGACAGCTACATTGTCAGGAACAGTGTATTGAACATATCCCATACTACCTCTCGGGATTGTCGCGTGCACATTTTTTCCGACAACCTTTCTCGAATTAGCTATATATTTATTATATACCAAGACTTTTACCTGAATTGCAAATATTTCGTAGCCTTCCTTCTCTGCCAGCTCCTTACATTCCAAGAAAATCTTCTCCACATCCGGGTTCTTTCGGTCGACGCCTTTGACTGTGTTGAACGTCTTCGTAAAAATCGTATCGTTCCTTCCTTTTCTGTCCTTGTAGCATCCTTCTACTTTGTAGTCAATCACTAGGACGATAATTAAACAGCAGTTTAGATAAGATACTGTGAACTTCCTTTCCCCAGTGAGTTATTGTTTCAGTCGTTTTACAGTATAAGTGAATTTACAGTGATTAATTTCATTGCGTGTGAAGTGGTTAACTTAAAAATGTTAGTTCTCTTCTTTGCCTTTGGGATCAATATTTGTAAATTAATTGTAACGGGACTCTGTTAAAAAGCTTAAGATGGAATCCATCCGGAAACTGAGTAATTTTAACAGCTCAGTAGAAAAAAAACCTTGAATAAGAACATGTTCAGCTATATCGCATTCTCTTTCACACTTTTCAAGGGCTATAGATGTACTTGTAATTAGTCAACTGTAATAACACCAAATGACAATTTCTTAAGGAAGCCCGAGAAAATACATTTCAAATTTCACAGGAACTGAAAAAAACGCAGGTAAAATCGTCATGCATAAGATTTCATTTTGTGAAGTTTGAAGCAGTTTGAAGAATGTTTTCACGGGCTTTCGTAAGAACCTTTCCTTTGGTGTTATTTCACATAACTTATTACATTTGTAGCCCTCTGAAAGTGTAAAAAAGAATGTAAGATGCTTGAAATCATTCTGGTACAAGGTTTTTGAATGTCCACTCAAAATTAAAATTACTCATTTTCCTAATGGGTCAGGTCATTTACTGATCAAAGGTTTTCATGTAGCAGTAAGTAGTACAGAGGGCATCTCTTCTGCGGTGTATGTTTTGTTTTCCCAATCTATGTTTCTTTCAATTACCTTATACCTTCATTGTGAAAAACAACCGAAGGAAACTGTATCGATCGACTCAATCCCTAAGACTTGCAATGAAAACGAAACTCCTCACTAGCCTCGCTTTCGCGCAACTAGACCCGGGTCGACCGAGAGGTCCGCCATATTTGCATTAGAGGTCTATTCTGACACAAAAAAACGAGCCGGAGTTTTTGCGAAGCGAGAGTAGTCATGTGGTGTGGCCGATACAGGCTTCTAGTACCTTGCGAGCTAGACTACGAACAGTCTCTCTTTTTTCTTGGTCCGTCGAGCAAAACGCCCGAGACACGCAAATGACCACGCACCTGACTGAAGGCGCGAGACGGGAGAGGCACGACAACGCTCGCGCGCGTGCTCTCCCCTTACTAAATCTGAAGAAAAAGAGAAACTGCCCGCAGTCTCTCGCAGGCTTTAAAAGTTTACAACTACGCGACAGACAAGCCACCCGAACGACTTCGTAACTGTGCTAAAAGCCATGATAGAGAGAAACCCGACTCTGCTCGCAGTGTAGGCTTTTAGTTAGTCCGTGATTATAACAGCAAGTTAACGACTTTTCATTCTCAGAGGTGGGTGGCAATAGTTGACTTTTTGACATATAGTAAACATTAATGTTCCTAAACTTTTATCCAGTTCGACCACAATACCTTTAAAACAAGTGCATTTTTCCTGTTCCAAGGCGCATTCCTTTTCTACATTTTCAGGAATAACGTCTGCTGTAAGCCTAAAAGGAAACCAGTTATGTTAAAGGACAAATAAAAATCTCCCTCGAACGCACAAAGAAAAGAAATGTTTTTTAGTAACGCTTACTCGATAAACCTCTCCAGAGGGCAGAATTCCTCACAGCCTGGGAGTGTCAATATCTTGGGTACATGTTGACCAAATCGATACAGCACACGCACGGACAGACTAGGTCTGAAAAAAATATTAAAGCGTGAAGTCAGTTCGTCATACCGGTATATGCCACGCTGCGAATTTAAAAATTTAAAGCAAATTACTGAGCTTCATTTTGCTAAGTGGTAAATACAATAAAATGTTTTTAGCTGACAAAAATTAAAAAAGTAACGTTCAGTAATTGAAGTCAGTAATTAACGTAGCGTTGAAATCGGTAGAGATGTTCTTTGGTTACGTTTTAAAACATCCGATCGAGCTTTCGATAACTCTGATAGGTACATGAAAAGTGAAAACATGAAAAAATTTTATACCGCACGTGAGGCAAAATGGAGAATTAAGTAAAAATTTATTTAAGCCGGATATGACAGTGAGAAAGATTTTGAACTGATTGTCATTTCTTTTTAAGACAGTCGTAATGTTTGGGTAGAAGGCATCAAATTCTCATTGGGCCAGCCGCGCGCATCAACAGTTATGGAATTTTTGCCGTATTCCAGGACTCAGTGTTTTAGTTCTCATGCGCAAATTCTCTTGCGTTTGTTTAAAACGCTCTCCCTTCGATTCTTCCTCCTTTTACTCTCTCACACTTTTTTTTCTACCTCGCTCGCAGTCGTTTTCTCTCTTCTCGACTGACTGAGAGCCCGGGACAGGCTACAGAAAAACAAGCAGCATTACGAATTATATGCCAGCAAGTGCAGTAAGAAAGCAAATATAAATACTTCCAAACTCCTCGGTATGGCCAGTACCTTACGCATGTGGACAACCCTATCTGCCATGGAGAGCTATTTCCCCCTTATTTGCGTCCACCCTTGGGTCTATCGGCATGGCATCGTAGAGACTTCAAGCTCCTGTACGACAAAAGGCTGTATGCAGGTTAGCCTGAGACCAAGCTCCTTAGTACGAAAAAGGGTTTATAACTGGGCGAGTGCGACGAAAGGAGCCGACCGATTCCCTCGTTGGCCCCCTTGGTTGGCCGATATTTTTCGCCCCGTTTATTCGCATTTTTCCCCCGACTGAGGCCTGATTCCAAGCTACTTTCTGGTGCCCTACACTCTGTAGAGGAGAGTGCATGAGATTACTTCAAGTGCGCTAGCTTCACACGACACATGTGGTGTAGCTGTTGTTGTCATATTGGCATGGTCTTTATGGTACTTACTTAAGAACCTCTTTGGTTGAACTGAACAATTCCAATATGGCAGCGCTAGAAAAATCTGGGGAAATGCCATCAAATACTTGGAGAGCACTCAGGAATGCAGAAACGGTGGTGTCGTGCTAAAAAAGAAAAAAACATTTTCCTTTCAATGAACTGACAGTGCCGAACTGGAGACACAGAACCTTGAACAAACTTATCTCAATTCTCAAGACCAGCACCGTTTACCAGAAAAACTTCATGGCCTGTTAATAATGTTAAACTAAAGCACGTTTATAAGATAAAAGAGAAAGCCTAACAATGACGAGAAAATTCAAAGCCCATTTTACAGTTTGTGTTTGATGAAGAGGCCTTTGAGTTGAATAGAGGAACCAGGATTTATATTTTCCAGTGGAAAAGTTCTGGGGTTCGTATAAAAAAAGTGCGTATGCAAAACCTCACAGAAAAAGAACCCAGGAACAACCAGATTTCCCAGTCATTAAAGGTACGTTCAAAAACAAGCAACAAAAACTTGCAACTTGTTTGCAACATTGCTGCAAAAAAACGAGTTGAATAGTGATGTAGCGCCTTTTACCACCCACGAGTCAAGCCTGTCTTGCAGCAAATCAGTTTTTTGAAGGTTATGAAAAGTTGTTACAGAAAGTAGAGAGTAGTTCTACTTTTTGCAACATAATCTGTACATGTTGCACGTTTTAGCAGCCAAAGCCAAACTTGTTTTGCAGCAAGTGACGTAACTTTTGTTTGTCACTGCCGCGTAAGCATGGTAAGTCAGATCCTAGAATTTCGTCAACTAAGAACAACCTGATTTGTTGCAAGACAGGTTTGAACGTACGTGGTAAAACGTGAAACATTGCTTTCTTACTCGTTTTGCAGAAGTGTTGCAAAACAGGTTGCACATTTTTGTCGCCCTTTTTACCGTTGCCTAAGACATAAACGGTACATTACTTACAGCTGAATAAAGGTAGGCCTTTCTGACAGGCTCCTTTGGATTAGGCGGAGATAAAACGAGTTTCATATTCTCAATCATTCTCCCTACCAAGGCACCTATTAAACATTCATCAAACAAGATTTGTTACTCAAACAAACAAGTAAACTATAGATTTAAAAAGAACAACCAAAAGCGGTAGGCCAAAAGTACAAGGAACACCAGTGAAAGACTTCAGATATTAGAAAACAATGGTTATTTTTAAACAATTTTTCCATGTCTCATTTTGGCTAGTTGAGAATAGATGGCACTACATTCCAGAGACAAAAACTAGCCTGAGCTGCATTAGCTGGCGGTTTTGTTGAACCGGGAAGGAGCGTGAGCGAGAGGCGGAGCCGCGAAGGACTGGGTAAAGACAATGGAAGAACAAATGTTAATTTGCTACTTAAGAAACGAGAAAGGGACTGGACAGAGCTTGCTTTTGCAAAGATTTCTGGGATTCTCGCTACAGTTACTATGGACGGGGCAGAAATGGCCATATATATTGGGGACTTTAACATGTCACGACGGCGACGACAACGAGAACGTCAAAAAAGCAATAGGTTCAATAGGCAACACAACAACTCTGCACGTGCGTCACCCTTTTTTGATTTGTACATTTCTTTGCCGTCCCTGCATAACTACGATGTAAAATGACCAAAGTTTGAGTTAACTTGAGAACGGGACCGGCAAGGCGATAAATTTATCCATCTCTCTCCGAACTTGGACGCTGTCCCCTCTCTTCAGTTCTTACCTAACTTTCCTACTTTTAAGTAAATTGTGACTTGATATGAGGGCGAAAAAGTTTCAAAAGACGCGAAGTCTATTTTTCAGCGAGGTTTCCATTGGCGTCGCCGTTGTCGGATCGTATCCAACGACGCGGACAGTAACGAGACCATAAAAAAAAACAATAGATTTAATAAGCAAAAAAAAAATCTTTGCACGTGCATAACACTTTTTTGACATTCTTTGCCCGTTCTTACACGACTACGACGTGAAAATGCCTAATTTCGCTTTTAAGGAATATGTAAACAAGCAACGACTAATTTTCTTTATCTTTCTGAGATTGAATATGGTCCCTTGAAATTCAGCTTAAGGAGGGTTCGCCTACAATTGACAAAGTGAGTGTATAGGAGTAATCGCTATAAAGACTGAAAGAACGCAAATTAAGTTTTTAAGCGACGTTCTTGTTGCCGTCGCGTCGTTGGATCTTAAAGTCCCTACAAGGGACCTTACGAAACTACGACGGCGACGGCAAAGGGAACGTCAAAAAAGCAATATGTTTAATGAGCAAAACAACAACTCTGCACGTGCATCACGCTTTTTAGTACATTTCTTTGCCGTCCCTGCACAACTTCGACGCGAAATGACCAAATTTTAAGTCTACCTGGGAAAGGGAACGGCAAGGCGATAAATTCTACCATCTCTGTCAGAATTCGGGCGCGGTCCCTTCTCTTCAGCTCCAAACTAAATTCCCTTCTTTTAAGTAACTGAGCCCCTTGGAATAATCGCGAAAAAAATGAGAGGATGCGAAGTCTATTTTTCAGCGACGTTTTCATGGACGTCGCCATTGTCGGATCCTTTTAGCTCACCGACGCGCCCCCAGTAACGATCCCAGGGACGGGACGCATTTCGGCTCCAATCCCTTTCTCGTTTCTCAAGCAGTCGCGCCAGTCCCCGTTCATTCGCACGCTCCCCGACAAAACGGCCAGCTAAGAAGACTAGGAAGGAATTTGCTAAACAAACCTCCGGTGAGTCTGGCTTTTTCTCGGGTGTTGAAATTCCACATCATGGAAAAGTCTCCCACAGTTCCAAGATCTTTGTAAGTTGTTCCATTTAGTACCCAGTCAGGTAGCGTCATGTTCTGAGATTCCTACAAACAATTCACAAAACCTCGTTAATTTTTAAGGTTGCAAGGTTGGTATGATTCTGAAATGCAAAAGTGCATGATCGGGATTAGGGCCTCTTTTGGACGGGGGATGGGAATTAAGGCCTGGTTTAGGACAGTTCATTATCTCAGTAAGACTTCGGATAACAGTAAGTGATGGATGACTTACCTCAGAGATCAACGGATCTCTGATCAGGAATGCAGTCGACACTTCAGTCTTCTCTCCGCTCTTTTCGGAAACATAGTCCAGCATGTCCTGAAAAGAATGACCAGTCGTTTCGCCAACGTCCAATTCGCTAACATATTATGTCTTGTTACTTAAGAGGCGAAACAAGCGCTTTGCATGTACGTATATATACCTCGTTCTCTCAGCCATGATACAAAGAAGTGAGATACACTTGTATATATCTCGTTCTTTTAGTCACCTATCAGGCGAAAACAGTTAGGGAACTGACCTAACAAGTAAGCGAAGCGACTTAAGAAGTTAGCGAACAGGACGTTGGCGAAACGACTCGCAGGCAAAACGACCGTAAATGCTGAAAAGTATCAGCAGAACAGGATAAATAATTATCATGGTCATATTCATAATGAGGGAACTATGGGAAGTGTCTGTTGCTGTATTCCTCTTTCTTTTACTTGTTTCTCAAGTCTTAATCACACGTGTTATCAGGTGCGTACGATTAAGGGCTCACTTAGCGAGGGATAAGACTGCCACTGACCTTATACTGCAACGACATGTTTATGTAAGAAGGCTGCTTTTTGTCCTCTTCACGTAGTTTCAAAAAACGCGGACACTTGTAATCAAACGGACGTAGAAGCTGCCAAAAAAGCAAAAACAGAGACCAGAGTGAAACAAGCGAGCAATATTGCTCCCACCGTTGCTTCACGTAAACAAAAGAGGTACTGAGCTAAGATCTAGCCGCTCTCTGTCTCTCTGTACTAACAGGAATTCCTTAGTGGCGATGTGTTTGCAAGCAAGAATTACAGACTCTAGTAGACTCTCGATATCTCTGCCAAGTTTTTAAAGGTTCAGGACAAACACATTTCTCGATTTCTTACCTTGAATACGTTCGGCTCATTTAATGGAAACGCATTAAGTCGAACTGAAAAAAAGTCGATAGTCATACTCCTTTTTCGCCCTTCAAGGGGGAATCCTTTCTACGCCACGCAAATATTGATGCACTACAAATGCACTACGAATTTCATCTGGGTCGATGTTCCTAGTGTTAGAATGGCCAAGTTTTTATTTCCAGCCAGTTTCGAAGAGCTAAATACGATGGAAGGTATTCCTATTTCTAGTCCCGTTGATACCTAAAACAAAGTTTTCACTTACGTAGTCGTCTTTCTTTGGGACCACATGAATCCCAATTGGTTGCCAGTCCAAATTATCACGCCATATCTGAAAACAGCAAAATTCGGTGCAATTAGACTCGGTTTCTTTATGTTAACACTGGAACGTCTTTCGCTTCTTCAACATCAGTCGTCCACCTACGTCAAGCCGTGTTATCTTGTCTTTATCTCCAGTATAATGCCCCTACGTCTTAATCCTAAGAATGGCTAGATCTTAAATCCAGTGGATCAATATCCCTATTATTTCATAAGTTAAGACATCACCAAGGAAAATGCTACTGTGTGCAAGGTCTCATTTGAATGGTCACATCATAGGATGGCGATTTGGTCAGGCATTATTGAAGTTAAAAAGGACTCATTATATAGAATAAAACACCAAAGGATTTTATCATGAACCAAGTGAAAAATAAATCTTAAGAACCAGTGAATTAAGCCGGGAGGGTCTCATTTCATTGGTAACAAAAAATAGGATTTCGCTTACAGAGTTACCTGCATTTATTTTCTCCGTAAGTGAAAGGGTGAAATTTGTCAACTAAAAGCGACTGTGAAATCAAAAAGAAAAAATGAAGTACCTGATTTCCACGAGGTGGATAGAGGCCGTTTAGCTGCGTCTGAGCACTCATTAAGCAGCGGTCCACATCAGTACTGCGAATATACAGCTGTTAAGAGAAACAGGGAGGTATATTAGTGCTGTAAATCATCCCTGAAATGATCTTGTGGCGAATACAGGGGAGGGTTACGGTTGTCCGAAGGCCGGGCTCCCTCCTTGATTTAGGCCAAGCGAAACTGGGGCTCCGAGATACTTACTTTAAGCCAGAGGGCTCTTATTCAAGGTACGGATCTGCCAATATTAAGTATTGACTTTTTTTGCTGACAAAGAAGAAAAAAGTGAGAAGGAGTTAGGCCTAGCAAACACCCGACTTTCACCAGTTTCATTGTTTTGTTTGTTTCCTTGTTTTGTGGCAGCTTTTTCTATTCAATTTTTCTTTACTTATCTAATTGTTTATTCATTTTTGACAACTTCAGAAAAAGCACATTGTTTAACATTCGTCGCCAGTTCTTCTCCAACCAAGGGGAATGGAAATCTGAAGGCAGAGTGAGACCTGGGTACAAACATTTTGGCTCTTGTAAACTATCGCTACTTCTAAAGAACTCCTCATGAAATGGTCATCTACCTACAAGACGTAAAAGTGTGAACAACATATGGCTGTTATTGATCTCAAGTCGCCCTTACCTCCTTGTGTATATAAGTTGAATTCAGTAGTTTGAACTTCTCCATGTATCGTTTCTTTAGAAACTTACCGAGGGCATATTCCTGGCGCATCCCTTTCTAAAATTGAAATTTTAATAAACGAAAGTAAGGATATTATCGTTATCAAGATAGGAAGCTAAAAACAAGATAATTCATTATTCACGGTTCAATGTAATAAAATCAAAACACGCTGTTTTCATTAGTCAACAGTCTTCTTTGTCCAGGTAAAGAAAGTATGTACGTTTTCTGAATATATAGAAAAAATGCTGCAATGATTTAACAAATTTACGTCAACTTGTCAGAAATGAATCCAAAAATCCGCTTATTTTCCAAAGACATGGAAAGACATTTATCTTCGGCCTGTATACAGCCGCGCCCTCATTTCCCCTGCGGAAAAATATTTGGGAGAGCCTACCTCCCTGATTTATTTTGATTGAAGGGGGCGGCTGTATACAGGCTATCTGAAACTTTCAAAACTGACTGTCTTTGGAACAACTTTAAGTAAATTTTTAGAAAATTATATATAAATAATAGCTTAAAATATGTTAGTTATGTAGTATCTGTAAATGCCAGTCGAAAATTCCCCCGGAGAACTGTCCATACATTGTATTAAAGTATCATCAAAGTATTTAAGATGTATATTGTAACAAATCAGACTAACCTGCGTTAGCATCCCTAAGCCTTGTGGCCAAGCATCTTCTTTATAAGGATCATTTGGGTAGATATGAGTAGGAGAACGGTTGCCATGACGATAAACCTGCAGCGAAAATAAATGATTATGATGGAAATAATACAGTTAAACCTCTATTAAGAGGACACCTTCGGGACCTTTCCAAGTGTTCGCTTAATAGAGTTTTGTAAAAGTTGCGCAATGTTTGTGAATGATTAAGTTTCAATGGTTACTCTGTACTGTGATAAAGTTCCATGTTGTTTGTACTTTGTGCAAGACTTTCGGTCTAATCTACAATTTATTGAGGGATGAATGATTTATCTTTATTAATCGACTACTGAAGAATACTAGATATTTCAAGGATGTAATGCAATTATACTACTATTGTCAATTCAGTCCGGTGTCCGCTTAATAGAAGTTTTTAACGCTTAATTGGGGTCCGCTTAATAGAGGTTTCACTGTAATAATATTAATAATAAGCGAAGTCGCTATCACCCTTGTGATGCTTTTCAGACTATTCCTGCACTGTTAATTTTAGTCCTTGGATTAAATTGTGCTCAAATGGCTCCAGGGGGTGAGGGGGGTGGGGCTGAATCAGACTTTGCAGGTAGCCTGCGGGGCTGAATTGGCACTTTGGGGCTGAAAGAGATCTAATTAAATTTCAGTGTGTGTATTAAAAAAGAAGTCCCTGGTATTCGCTAAAATGGAAAGCGTAAAAACCATTATTATACAGCTAAAAAAAGGTTCACAGCGGAAAGGAAACAAATTTGGGTACCGACAGTGTTGCCAAGAATAAACCTCGTGAAACAGTTTAAGAAACGAACAGAAGGCTAAAATTGAATACTGAAATTAGTATAAGCTTTGAAAAAGTCAATTTCAGTTTACTCAGCTCTTTTTCTTTTGCATTCAACAGACTAAAGTCTTCTAGCTAGAAGTAAGTCTTTAAAAGTCATGTCGCCAAAAAACCGTTCAAGAATGAAATAATGCAAGAATCAAAGTATCAAGGGCTGTGCTTCAAGCATCTTTCTATGATGATGTGAGAACGCCACGTCGTTCGAAGAATGTTGCCTGGGGAACCTGGGAAACTCTAGTAGACATCCTTTGGAAAAGTCACCTTACTTAGAACCAGTCTATAAAGGTGGCGTTGCTACAAAAAACTTCTCAGAATTTGACATTTACTTTTAACAAAAGCTCTTTTATATGTGCGAGTTGGTCAGTGCAGTATCTAAGCTACTTGTATATTTCAGATCAATAGTATTATGTTAACTCTTTGCTAGCGAAACATCATTGAATTGGATGGTGAAGTGTGTGGCTGACTTTTTAAAAACAACTGTTGCTCTGCGCCAGTGAACAAGTAAAAGAGAAAATTTGATTTTATCAACAGGTTTTACCGCTCGAAATATCGTTCTGTTAATTAACCAGTCTCGACTCGTTGTTATTAGAAAAACTGGTTATTTACATATGAATAATGAGAGTTTTTAAAGAGGGTGCATGAATTACACACAAAAAAATCAGACATTCATTTAATCAATGACTTTTCAAAAAATGCTTAATTTTATCCTGTTTTTCAAACCTTGCGCCTATTAGTTGCCTTAGTTCGACGTGTCCCTCGCTCTCGTGAAAACTCAAGTTCAAATTCAACGTCTTGATAATATAATATGACCCTTTCACTTTTCGCTCAGTTTCTGGCAACATCTATTTGATGAACCCAATCAGTTAATTGAAAAGGTCCTTCAACCGTGGTGGAGGCGGCGAAAGTCTCTTAAAAAAAAGAATTCATGCATTCATGTTTAAAAATTTATCATTCTTATTCCATGGCGTTCAATTTGTCAAATGTTTGTGAATTGTTTTGAAATTGAATTCTAAAAGACTGTATCTAAGTTTAAAGAAGAACTAGAAAATCCTTGTCTTGTGTTCACGACCTCCAGAAATTTAGGCAGTTTCAAGTCGTGGTCGTTCAAAGACGACTAGGAAATGTACAAAATAGCGTGAAGCGGTTCATGGAAAGTTCTTGTTTTGCTTATCCAAACCTCAGTATTGCTTTTTTTGCCCGTTCTCCTTGACTTCGTCGTCGTGTTGTTTAACCTCCCCAATGTCGAAATAGAGTGAAAGCTGAGCGTGCCAGAACAGCTTTTGATTTTAAAAAATCGATAGAACTTTTCGTTTGATAACGAGGCTATTTGAAGACGTCTGTTGATGAACTTTTCTGTCTTATTCATTTTTCTTTTTCTTTTTTTCTTTTTTTTTTTTGAAGAATACCGAATAGGTTCAGAAGCAGTTTCAAATGAGACCAGAACTTTACTCAAAATTCAAATTCCACTTCACAGAAACCCACCTCCGCCTTTCTTGAAAAATCGGGTGCTCATACTTCCACATTTTATTTCATTATGTACAATTTACCAGTAATCAACATCTTCAATACTAGTACCAGGAAACCTAACCCAAAATTTTCGTGCTTAATCACGAATCATCGTCATAAACTGAGCTTATTTAAAAGTTCTCTAATGTCGGTTTTAGAAAACTATCGAGAAGTTTTTTCCATAAACTTCTACCACATAATTACGGTGCACTAGTAACTTCCCCACTTACTGCATTCATCATGATAAGTTTTTTCACATCTTTGCATTCAATTCCATTTAGCTGCAGCAAGCAAACCGCCAAACCAGCTAAGAAACAGAGAGAGAGATCAAAGCACCCCATGACGGTAGGTCTGTGCTCGGCGACAAACAGCTCTATGTGAATGAGCAGCGTGGCTGCAAATGAGTTTTAACCATACTGTAACGCACCTTTCTATACAAACTACTGAGTGTATCTATTATCTATTTCCAGCACTTTTTTTATCAGAAACAAAAGGCAAGGTGAGTTAATTAAGGGTTCATTTTCAGTCGCGCTTTTGCCACGTATCATAAATGAGTTGGGCAACCTTCGCGTCGCTACGTAAACTTCCAACCTTCCAGCTATTTTCAACATTGTTAAATAAAAAAAAAAAAGAATGAAGTAAGATAATTACGTTTGCACTCTGTTGGGCTTTTTGTACCTATTCCAGTCATATGGCTGTCTCCGTGAGCTGACAAGGATCGTTTGTTCTGATTGGATGCCTCAGAGGACACGATGGGCGTAACAGGCCAAGATTTTGTTCCCTTTGAAAAACATTTATTTAGATGTTAACTAAGCAAGCTTGTTCGATCAAGATGGGATTCTAGCCTGCGAAAACAGCCATTACTCCTCGCTCCTCATGGTTTGAGACGCTTGACGGCTGTTTTCCCAGGTTTTAGAGTAACCTGGCTCAATTTTCGATTCGCTTTGTAAAAAACAGTTCCGGTAGGCAAAGCGAAACGAAGAGAGAATGTATGAGAACGGCTAACATTGGGCCTGATCTCAGATTAGTTATAGAGATGCTAGTCGTATTCTTTTTTCTTCATCTTTTTTTAGGGACCTCAAATAAAACGCAATGCCTTTTCAATAACATCTAGCCGGCCTGTTGATCTCATGTACCCTTTAATCTATAACACAAAACACAGTATCAATTGGACGACTTATTATACTAGGGATGAAAACGATTTATAACATAGCAAAAGTAAAGTACGCGCTCTGATTGGTCAATTAGGCCATCTACCATTTGCCCGTGGGTGCATGCCAAAAAACTGAGCTAGCGCGGTAAAATTGAGGCAAATTCAGCAAATCTCCTTTCCTGTCAGTAAAACTGGTAAAATGCACCGATCAAATGTACAAATGGAAAGTGGAAGTTGAAGAAAATACATAAATACTCAGTTGTCGTTTTGAAGAAAAAAGGCAAAAGATCAAGTTGCAAATTTCCCCGGGATGCCTTGATCACTGTTTTCTTCGCGGCTAGGATCGGCAGAAGAAAAACCGAGTGAACGAAGATTTTCAAATTTTAGAGGATTCGACACAGCTTTGTTGTGTGGTTTTCATCGCATCGATTAAAAATTTTAGTTGTAAAGGACACGTTACGGTGGAATTGTAGCCTGAATTTCATCCGATTTCTTCGAGTCGTTTTCTCCTTTTATAACCGCTCGAAGTAATCGGATGAAATTCAGGCTACTGGAATTGTAAAGCGAATTTCATTTGAGTACAGAAACATTTGGGTTTTCAAATAAATTTTTCAAAAACTGACTTTTCTGTTCATTATTTTGTTTATGTTCATTCATAACAGTAGTTCAAGGAACGGTCGTAAAACAATAGCATCTAAATTGCTCACCCATCGCTTCAGCGCCGGCTGTGTCGGCGAATTTTTTAGACCGCGAGCGGTCGTCAAGTCTGGCGAGCGAAAAGGTAAAATTATGCAAATTAATGGCAAAAAAGGAGGAGACATTGGGCACGTGCCCTCGTTTCTCGTGCTCGCTTTCTACTGTGTCTCAAAAGAAAAATAAGAAACTGCTCGCAGCTTGATTTCCCACGAGAAATTTCGATACGAAGATGCTTAACTTCGTTTTAAAGTTAGTAATACCTAAAAGAAATACAGTCAGCTTTTCTCATTTCTACTTAACCTGAGATCAGGCCCAATTTGAGCGGTTCTCATACATTCTCTCTAACGGGTCGTCTTGCCCGCCGGAATGTAATTTTCAAAGCGAAACGAGAATAGAGCCTGATCTTAGGTTAATTTCTACTTTACGTTTATTGCAAAAATTGTTTTAAGAGTCTTTTTCAGTTAATGTTTATAGTTGAGCTATGGTTTTCCCTCAAAGAATTAACTCTAATATTAAGAGGAAGTACACAGGAGCCATTTAGAATTTCAACAAAAAACGTTTTGCAATTTACCATTAAAGGAAAGTTTTTAAAAGGCATGATTTGTTTACGCGCGAGGAAAAGACAGCATACATCAACTCGTCTACAGTACCAATGACTCAAACGAAGGCAAAAGGAAATGTTTTCTCTTTTGATTATGTTATAAAAGAAATGGTAAACGTTGCGGCTGTGCAACCATGGAGTTATGGATGCAAGCGGGAGGTTGCTAAGCACTCAAGAAGCTATAGTTCCACGGGCTAGTTCCACTCTTACGCTTCTGTCGTGCTTAGCAACCTCCCACGTGCATCCATAATTCGATGGTTGCACGCTGCACGTTTACCATTTCTTAATTTTAA